TCATCAGATGTTTAAGTATAAAAGATGTAATTTCTATACATCAGATATATACATCTAAAAATTATAGCATTCTTTCAACTGTATAACAACTTGATATAATTTTAAAACATACAAAGCTCCTTCTTTAAACATCAGAAATAATACATTTTGTAACTTTTTAACCTATACTTCCATTTACTTATCCTATAGAATTTTATTATAAAAGAATGTATTTGTATGCTCAACAGTCCTAACTTGATTATTGTAATTCTCTGCAACAAAAAAATGTATAAAAATTGAAGTTTAAACTTATCAAAATTTCCTGTGAGATAAGATGCTAAGTGTTAAAATTTTTCCTCTGGATTTCCTCTAAGTGTTAAAATTATGTGATTATTGTAATGCATAATTGATCAAAACAGTATCAATGCTACACATTTCAATCATTAAAAAGAAAAGGTAAAATTTATTGGAAACGCATCTTATACACAGCTAAACTGTGTATCTAGGAATCAATATGATTTATTGTCATACAGAACCAGAATTGGTTCTGTTCCCACTTTCATTTTTACAATTTTAACATGAGAGAAAATTCATTCATATAAAGCAGCAGATAAGAATGGAAGTTTTATCACAGCAAAATCACTGAATTCTTTTAATTCCTTTCCTTCTGGGTTATAGGCTAAAAATCATATAATCACCTATCATCAAATACTATCTCTTAGCTGACATTTCATATAGGTCAGGTTAAAATTTGTTTTAAAACTTGAAAAGGATTTGTCACCCCATCATTAGAGTTATTCATTTTCTCAATTCTGTGAAGCATACAAAAAAATCTTACAAAGATTTATCATTTTCTTTCATGACATTGAGACAGGATTATTCTAAAGACACCGACAGGATTGGGAAAACTGAAATACTCTTCAACGTTCTTTGGCAAAGAAAACAACAACAACAAAAACTCAAAACCAATTTAAACGTTTTTCTCTTATCACTTGTTTTTAACGTATTTCTGAAAAAAACAAAATACCTCAGAGCTGAGGATTAGGCTCATTTAGTTTGAGAATGTCTGCCATATAACATTAACGGTAAAACCTGTTGTTAATGCCAAACCAGCCAGCCAGTGGAGGCTTACTTTCTCAAAAATTATGACATAATTTTCCAATTAGAATAAATATGTTAAGCCACATCTGCATTCGCCTCATCTCATCTGAATTCTAATTCCAAAATTTCAGTAAGCCACAGCATTCTCTTCAGCATTTCTCTTTTGGTGTTTGGCTCTTATATCAGAAATGATAGTCTTTAAAATAATGAATAGAAAATGAAAAGGTTAGGTCATTTCATGAAAACTCTTACATTCTGGGAATTCAGAACACTGAAACACAGGCCTGGTTTTAACATGAGGCTTTACCCTTAACAGATATACTTAAAAGTGTAAGCGACTTATGAAAGAGACTTTTCCACTGTGGTCCTTCCTTGTCCTCGACCCCACAGCTAAATCTTTTCACACTCTCTCATACATGACTCTGGTCCCAAACTGTTCCTCTCTGCCCCTCCGGATAAAATCCCAAATGATCAAACAATGGCTACTAATATCTAAGGATAATTCCTCCTCTTCCGCCTTATAAAATGTTCTGTCTTCATTCCCCAAATTAAGATGTTGCTTTTGACATCCTTTCTCATGCTCTGCATTTTCAAATAAAGGCTTATTCTTTGCCCTGATCTTCTTCCATATAAAACAGGGAAGGACAGGATGCTCTCCTTAATACCTTAATTAACAGAGACTTCACTACACCAGTAATTTGAATTGTCCCTTTTTTCTGGACACCCTGGAAGGTTTTCCACCTTCCTTCCTGGGGCAACACACCATAAAAATACTTATGATACATGAGAGCTTGCCTTTCTTCTTTAAAGTAAAAGAGTAATTTGAACAGGATGTGGGAAAAGAGAAGCAGCGTACTACTATGCTACCCTGATCAAAGGAGCTTTATCAGAGAAGCAAACAAGCTGAGAATTGGGGAGATGATTCCTGTAGAATTTCCTGCATACTGAAGTTTGAAGAACACTGGTTGGTATGTGTAGAGCACAAATCACAATAAGTCACCAAGAGCAGTCTTTTGTTACATAACAGAAATCAGACCCATATATATGGCAGCTACAGGAATTATGAGACTGCAAATATAAATAAGTATTTTTAAGGCATTTAAAGAAATACTATATTTAAAAAATATAGTAACAAAAGACTATCAGAAATGGCTAGGTTGATTTAAAAACAAAAAAAAAGAGAACATCCAAAAATGAAAATAGAAACTCAATAAATGGGTGATACAATAGGATATATGGAGGTGAACACAGACCTAAAGAAATTACATAGAACGTAGCACAGAGAGACAAAGGGATGCAAACTATGAAAATATTGAGACAAATAAAGGAGAAGAGTGCAACACGTCTAATCAAAATTTCAGTAGAGAATACTTGAACAGATAATAGTAGAGAATTCTCCAGAATTTATGAGACACCCATCTGTAAATCCAGGAAGCCAAAGTCTCAAAGAAGGTAGACGAAAAGAAATCAAGTCCTAGAAAATCAGAATATAAATTATGAGAGTGATAAATTAGCTATAGTTTAAAATTAGGAACTTTTGAACATCAAAGGACTTCATAAATAGAGTGAAAAATCAAACTATGAACTTGGAGAAGACATCTGCAGTGCATGTAACAAAAGAGTAATATCTACATTTAAGAAAAGACAAACACTGAAATAAAAAAATGGACAAAAGCAATAAATAGGTATTTCAAAGGGGAATCACAAAGGGTAATTAACATATGAAAAGATGCTCAACCTCATTAAGACTCAGTGAATTGCAAATTTAGCTTGAATTTCATGGCTCACCAGATTGACAAAAATTAAAAAGTCTAACAACTTCAAATACAGTGGGTACCTTGGTGTTCATTTTATTATTCCTTAAACTGTATACACATTGTATGTGTTCTTTAATATGCATGTTTTATAACAAAAAATATTTTGTAAGTACCTCTTGAATTTGGCAATGAAAATGTTTGTCTATGGCCCTGCGGAGAGCAGTTTCAGTGAAATAAAAGGCATGAAAAGTAGGCTGCAATGAGCTGAAAAGGCTCTATGAGATAGGAAAGTAAAGACAACACAGACAACTATTTTAAGCTTAACTTTGAGGTTAGGCAGACAGAACTGTATAACTTTAGAAGAATGTCACAGTGAGAGCTTTTTTTAAAATTTTATTTTATTTTTTAAATAAAGGAAACTGGGGCAAATTTAGAAAGAAATAGCAAAAGGGAGAAGATGATGACACAGAAAATAAAAGCCCCTGGCTATCACAAAGGTATATAATACAGAGCTCAGGAATAGCGGTTAGTTTTAGACAGGAGTAAGGGTTCCTACTTCATTGTTATAAGAAATTACCTCTCTGACATTATCACTTTTCTCCTCCCTCTATCCACTTCAGTTACAATGGGCTCCTTGATCCTCCTTCAAGCAAGCCCCTGCCTCATGACTTTTGCATATGTTATTCCCTCTACTGAGAATACTCTTTTCCAATGATGCAAAGCCTGCCTTTCACTCCTTTCAAGTCTTTGCTCAGATGTGAACTCAGTGAAGTATTCCACAAGTACCTTTAAAATGAAATCCCCTTCTCACCCCCTACCACCCTAATCCTAGTACTCCCTATTCTTTTTCCCGGCTTTATTTTTCTTCAAAATCTTCTAATATTCCATATAATATTCTCATTTTGTTGTTTAATCCCCTCTCCCCCACTTATGTACCAGCTCCATGAATGCAGGACCTGTAGCCACAGTGCCTGGTAATGTTTGATACACAGGAAGAAAACTCAGTAAATAAAAGGTGAATAAATGATTAAAAGTCCCTACTTGAGGAACTGGAAGAACAAATACAATGGAACTAATACTGCATGATTTGAACAAAATGAAGTGGAGCCTAGAGAATAATCAACTTATTGCCTACAGAAGAGATTACATTTGAGTTAGATCTTGAATCATGAGGGAGTTTGCCAAGTGAAAAAAAAAAAAACCAAACAGACATTCCAAGGTATTGAAGAACATGGAGGTTTAAAAGGGCCTGGTACACTTGAGAAATGAAAATGGGGTACTGGAGTATGATAGAGAAGACAACGGACCAGATTTTAGCAAACCTTACAATGTTCACAGCAGAGGACACATTATATTGAGCTTTTCAATGATAAAAACCCTTTACAGAAGATCACAGTTGCTTGGTCACTCGTTTTATTTGCAGTCAGTTTAAAGTTTACATAAAACTACTGGACTTACTGCAAAGGAAAAAGTTTGAACAACCTAATCTGTTCTCCAACTGTAGACTGTATTTTTCATAACCAACCAAAGTCATAGTATTACTACCAAATGTCTCAAACCCAAGTATTATTCAAAGAAGTCAAGACAAAAAATTCTCATTGGTGGGAAAAGGGTCAAATTCAAGTGCTAGTTTTGTAGCAACTACTCTCCATTTCACAATTTATGAGTTTTTTAATGAGCCTGCATGTTGTCCTACTTAACTTGCACTTATTACTCTGTTTTCAATTAGTCTACCTTCCTTCTGTACACATCATTACTGTCTTTGGGACACTCAGCTTCATTTTAGCCTCAACACAATTACTTAACCATCCAGGTTATTTTCGAGACAGGAGACTCTCTTGAGTACACACAGAAAACCTCAAGACAACGTGTTAACTCATGAGCCCATGTAGCCAGTTTAGGAATATTTAAGCACAATACTAGAGAGGTGGCGAACACCAACGGTGCATTTTAAGTTTTGCCTCTCTGGGGCCTGCGAGGGGGCGGAGAGCAGGTGAGGTGGGGTAAACCCTGAAAAGGGCGGGGCTCCATTGGGTTCCCTTGGCAGGCCGGAGGTCAAAGCTCAGGTCTAAAGCTGAAGGGGCGGTGCCTGCCTTAAAAACCAAGGGGTGGTGTGTTGGCCCTGGAGGGTAAAGAAGGGCACGGCGACTCGGAAAGACTCACAGTAATAAGCCACCACAGGGTCCCGCTTGTCATGTTCCTGAGCCGTCCTCAGATGATGCTGTATGCTCTTAAACTGGGGGGGTAGTGGGGGCAGCGGAGCAAGCGCGGCCATCTCTATTCCAGGAATCACCACTTCCTACTCGCGCGCCACCGACACTTCCGCTTCCGTCTGGTAGGTCGCGCGCACGGACGCGAATGGCAAATCCCGCCCACTCTCCTGTTGCTCGGCGACAGCAAGTCAACTACGGGCTCCCAACAGGGACAACCTCAATGTACCTCGCTCTTGGAGGTTAGAACCAAGAGAAGGCTAAACGGCTCCGCGGTTGTGTCGCTTGTGGCACCAGCGCTCTCTGCTGGCTGCGGGTGGGAGGGAAAAGAGTTTTTGTTTTGTTTTACCTTGTTGTGTCCCCCATACCTTTTTTCCTTCCTCCCTTCCTTCCTTCCTTCCTCCCTCCCTCCCTCCCTCCCTCCCTCCTTCCTTCCTCTTTCTTTCCGCAAAATGGAAGGTAGAAAGGGGAAAGCAAGAAGGACTTTCCAGGACTTTACACTTTATTTGCCTCCTCCAATAACCTTCATCTTTATTGCTTTATTTTCTCAGTTCCCAGTTTTGAGGGTTCATCTTAAAACTAGTTTTCATTGAAATCACACCATCTCCAAGGAAAAAGATCTCAACCTCTGAAATTTGTCCTGCCTGCTATATTCTCTAATAACCAAAACATCTACCCACCCCCCAGCCCCCCACCCCCGCCCGTAGAAACTGCTCTGTGTCCTTATGATTACCCCTACTCCACATCCTTTGTCTATTTCTGCTTGCAGAGTACATTACCTTACTCTGGGTTTGCCTTTTTTTTTTACCCGACAAGAAATTGAGACCTGTATTCTCCCCAATCTCAGTAACATTCACCACTTGATAATGTATATGCTACAGACTGAATATTTGGGTCTTCTTAAAATTCATATGTTGAAACTTAATGCCCAATGTAATGGTATTAGGAGGTGGAGTCCTTGAGAGGTGATGAGGGCAGAGCCTTCTTAAATGGGATTAATGCCTTTATAAAAGAGACCCCAGAGAGCTAGCTGGTCCTTCCCTGATGTGAGGATACAATAAGAAAGCAACATTCTGCAACCTAGAAGAGCGGTCTCACTAGAACCTGACCATACTGGAACCTGGATCTTCCAGTCAGAATAGTTGGATTGGTAGAGGAACTAAAGCAAAGTGGGATAACCATAAATGTCATCTCTCTGTCCTTATGAATTCTTATTTATTCTTTTCCTATTCTTGATTGTCAACTCTGGTTGTTCTTAAAGTTCACCTAAGAAGTTTTGTTTTGTTTTTTTTCCAAAGACCTATCTAGGTCTCACCCCCAGGCCACCCCAATGTAATAGTTCTGGATTGGAGCCAAAATATCAGTATTTTTAAAAGGCTTCTGGAAATTTTAATGGTATATCCAGGGTTCAGGACCAATGCCCTAGTGAATCATCAATATGTAGCTGATGTTTCTCCAGTCTCTTTAAGCTGGACTCTCTGCCCTGATAGCCTTGATCAGAAGCTGCAATTCCTGCTATTGAGATTAAGGTCATGAGATATGAATTGTTTTACCTCTCCTCTGGCACAGCAGAGTAGTAATAACTAGCTAGCATTTGCTGAGCATCTATTATGAATCATGTATGTTTCTAGGGACTTAACATCAATCCATTTAATCCTTACCACACCCTATGAAGAATGTATTATCATTTTCATTATTTTATAGATAAGAAAAGTGAGGCACTTAGAAATTATGTAACTTGCAGCAGATCAAAGCCAGTAAATATGAGTGTTTAATATTAAAATCTATGTCCTTTGGTTTCAGAGCCTGTGAATCTAACCACTATTGACTTTAATGTCTCTCTATACCAATATATCCTTGTATTTTATGTTTTTCCTATTGAATGATCCTATGTCTGAAAATCATGTGTTCTATTCCTAGTGAAGTCTGTACCTTCCTATTATTCTCCTGATCTCTCCCTTTGAGACTGTAGGTTGCTCAGGTCCCTTTCTCATTTGCATGTGTTCTAAAGGAGGTAAGGGGCAAAATAAGCAAGTAAGTGAAATGGATTTTATGCCATCTGCCAACACATGTTCTCTTCTTTCCAAGTACTGTACTCCTGTCATGAGAGGAGTATTGATATGAGGAAGAAAAGTAACAGAGACTGTTAGCATAACAGCACATTAAAATTATGGTGTGAAAGAAAATAAATATTAATAACATGTTTCTTCTTGTTGATGTTTTATAATGAAGAACTTACTATGAAGAAAGACCTAAACTCTCCTCCATCCAGCTTTGAACAGTTGCTGAAGGATCTCACATCACCCTCCAGGTTGGGGCTTAAATCTTGGCAAGTTAGGGGAGGGCATAAATGGAATTCACCAGTGAAGCTACCTGGGCCTGGCATTTTCTTCGTGGGAAAGCTTTTTATTTTAAATGTTATTTCTTTAATAAGTATAAAGATATTCATATTTTCTGTTTGTTAAGTTTTTAGTAATATGTGCCTTTCAAGGAAAGTATTCATTTTATGTAAGTATCAAACTTATTGACATAACATTGTTCATGCATGATGTTTCCTTATGATCATTTAAATATTCTGTTGTGATATCCCTGTTTTTTCCATTTACGATCTGGGTCATTTTCATTTTCTCTTTTATTATCCCAACCTGGCTAGCGAGAAAACAGTTTTACTAATCTTTGCAAAGAACCACTTTTTGTTTCATTGATTTTTTTTTTATTGTCTTTCAGTTTTCTACTTCAACGTTTTGTGGTTTTTATCTCTCTCCTATTTAATTTGTATTTAAACTGTTCTTTTTATAATTTCCTAAGGTGAGAGGTTTAAATCACTTTATAACTTAATTTTTCTAACAGAATATTTATAACTTCTAATATTCTGTCGATTACTCTTCTAGCTGCTTTCCACAAATTTTGAGAAACTGTGTTTGCATAAGTATTTGTTTACAGTAGTTTTCAATTTTCCACATAATTTCTTCCTTGATCTATGGGTTAATAGATGCTATTGCTAGTTTCTCAAATACTTGGGCATATTCCTGATATCTTATTTTTATTAACTTCTAGTTTAATTCCATTGTGACCAGCTAACATACACCATATGATTTCATTATTCAGACTTTCTTATGACCCAGTAAAGAGTCTCTCTCGGTGAATGGTCCACATGTACATGAAAAAAAAAGTACAATCCGCTGGTTAGGTGAAGGGTTCTCTAAATATCAATCAGGGCAAGTCAGTTATTAGTAACGTGTAAATACTCCATCTCCTTTCTGATGTTCTTTCTACTTTGTCAATTGATTAGTGAGAGAGGGGTGTTGAAATCTCTAATTGTAACTGAATTTATTTCTCTTTTGAATTTTGTTAGGTTTTGCTTCATATATTTTGCTGCTCTGTAACTGGTGACATACACATTTAGAACTGTTATGCTTCCTGATGAAATTATCCTTTAATCATTATTAAATGTCTCTTTTATCCCTGTCATCTCCCTTGCCCTGAAACCTACTTGAGTTTTCTCATATTATAGCCACTTCAGCTCTCTTATGCTTTTGCATGATATATCTTCTTCCATTTTTTTCTCACTATCTAGTTGTAAAAATATTTGAATGGTTTAAATACTAAATCTTTAAATATTCAAAAATATTTAAGGTGGTGTTCTTGTTAATGGTTTGGTCTAGCTTCTAAAAAAAAAAACCACATCTGGACAATCTTTGCTTTTGTTTAGGGTGCCAAGACATTTTATATTTATTGTTACTATTGGTATTTTTAGATTTAGGTCTACTGCCTTGTCATTGCTTTCAATTTGCCCCATCATTTTTTGTTTCCTTTTTCTCTTTTTTGCCATCTTCTGGATTAAATGAATGTTAATTAACTAATTTTATGATTTTATTTAACTTTGTTAGCTTTTTAGCCCAAATTTTGTTGTTTTGCTTTACCAGTTATCTTATATGTTACAATATACATCTTTAAATTATCACAGTATACTTCAGGTGATAATATACAACTTCACATATAAGAATCTTATAATAGTATATTTCCGTACTTAATTTGATTCACCAAATTTGTCTATTTTATTATTATTTTCCTTTACCATTTTGTATTTATATTTTGTTGTTTTTTTATGTTTGTTTTCTATTTTATTACTGTATTCTCTGCCTTTATCCTTATTAGATTATTTTTGTATTTTTTGGTTTTATTTTGAAGTTCTTATTTTTACTTTTTAAATTACATTTACTATTTCTTTTTAATAATAAATGTATTTTCAACTCTCAATTTTCTGTGTACTACAGACTTGGTCCTATCCCATGGGCTTTAATACGTAGTATTCTGACTGCTATTCATTTATCAGTACAGAAAAACTAGATTGAATTACCTTGTTTGATCCATGAGCTTTTTATGAAATATTGATAGTCTTACTAATTTTTACTACATTTGCATTTTGGTTAGAACAGTCAGTTTTTATAAATATTTTATATTTACACTGTATAAATGTCATATTTATATATATCATTTATTATTCAGGAGTATATAACTGTGTGTTTACAATCCTGATACAGTTACCAACAAAATGAAATCATAAAATAGTAGATCAGTAAGGAATTAAAAAGACTATCCAAACCAACTCTCTCACGGGATCTGTATCCTTATACATAACAACATGTACTGTTTGCAGGGGTAAGCAGGGTTTCTATGGTGGCTTAGAAATGCCATCGCCTGTCCAGCAAGGAGATTAAGTCCAGGGGGGCCAAGGAGGCTAGATTTTGGAGGGCAGAATACCTTGGAAGGGAGAATTGCAAACAAGAGAGCTTCAGAGACCTGTAAAGTGTCTCCAACTGAGTTCTGCTCAGTGTAACATCTTTAAATATCTTTCAAGGAAAAGAACTACTGAAAAGATTGAAACATTATCCAAAATTCACACAAGATTGAGACTAGTTGCTTTTCCCAACAGCCAAGGTAAAAAATCTGTTTACGAAGAGTCATACTTTGACAATGTACTAGAGGATAAATCAGAATAAGAATAAATCAGTGCTCATCTATGAGTGGGCAATGATATTAAGAGGAAGCCTCTTGGGTTTTTTTGGAGAGGGGGGAGAAAAAAAGGTCTTCCTTGAGAAAAATCCTAAGAGGCAAA